GGGGCTTTTAGGGGACACTTTAAGTGGAAAAGGTTTCTAATATGGATACACAATTACAATAATAAAAATGTATACTGTTATTAGCACATAAGTGACAACTGTGTCAGTTTAAATAACAACATAAATTATACTAGTGCTGAAATCAACTGATAGCTGAAACTAAATCCTGTTACAGCCTTATTAATCAGGATTTACAAATTTTAAATCCCAATTAAGTTTAACTGTTTGACACTGCCCGGGTATATAAAGTAAATGTAACAGCAAAGAGATGCTAAACAAAAATAAACACCTTGTGTTACACCCCTCAAGCTCCTCCCAGCCTAAAGGTATTGCGGAGGCAAATGAAATTTACTTGAAGAGTTCCCATCAGACCCCGGAAAAAAAAAAAAAAAGAATTAAAATGAATCAGCAGCCTCCCAGTTTATCAAACCAGCACGTCCCAGTCAGGAAAGCAGCAGATCCCAGTCTGTACAAAGCAGCTGACATCCCCCTCCCCACCTTGCAGAACTATAGTTTCTGAAAAATCTTATAAATCCCAGCACACTGCTCACAACAAGCTGTTGCTCTCAGTATCTATTTTATAAATAATGTATATAAATAAGGATGAAACCAAGACACTGAAAGTTTATACGCCTCGCAGAAGATCACAAGGGAAACCTGGAACCAAAGGCAGGTTTCTCAACGCTCCCAGCTGGGACAGGCGCCACGGAACATAATGTCATCTGAAAAATAACTCCCAGACCCTGCTAACAGCAAAAACTGCCTTCCACCAGGCACAGACGTACCAGGGAGGCAAAGAGAATCTAGAAACAAGCAAATGACACTTAAAACTTTTGTAAAATCTCAGCCTAGAGCCTGTTTTCACACCCTAAGAGTTCCACAAACTCTCCCCAGCTCCCTATCAAGACGGCATTTTCTCTCCAGCCTTCTCTCTACCTTCAGACTGTGAAAATTTTAACATCTGATGCAGCCTCACAACCAAGCCATAAAAAAAAGATCTTCCTAAACCCTATTCCAGGCTTCTTACCTCCATCTGTAGACACAGAACTCTCAGGCAGCTTTTCAGGGGCTGCTACTTCTACAGAACTGTCCATCCGTAGGTATGAATTTTTTTTCCTGAGTATTTTTTTCCTCCTCCAAGTCCAAAAGAGCAGGTGAAAAAAACCCCTGAAGCTAAGGCAAAAATGCTACTACGCCCGTTACCAAAAGGAAAAAAAATAACTACAGAATATATATATTTAACCCTGGATCTAGGAGTAAAACAAGTCCTCTCAGTCTGGGAGAAGAAACGAAGCAGTCACTTGACCTGTGTGTATATATATATGTGTGTGTACACACTTTGGGTCATATGACTTTTGACTCACCTGAGAGCTTAAAGGCTTTGCCCGAGCGTCAGCTCCTTTCTGTGCCTGAGGCCAGAATTTCCAAGGAAAAACCTATTTGGTAATTAAATTCATTCATTGTTCCAGCACATTTTTCCTCAATAATATATATTTATATATAAAATATACTCATTGTACTCGAGCTGTGCAATGAAAAGCAGTATTAATACACCAACTTTATCTCCAATATCAACAGCGAGCTCCTCACCAAAGACCAAATAGCTCAGTTACTGTCCTTCAAAATGAAATTCTTTTTTTCCCCCCCAATTTTCCTAAAGTTTTGATAATGCCATGTCAGAACGCTGAGCTAGAGCCCATCTGCCATTTACACAGCTCGTTTACTCAAAATTCAGGATTTCTCTCCTCTCCCCATCACTTTATTTTGACCCCACCACCTGCAATTCAGCATGATGTCACTCATCATTCTGCTCCTCCTAAAAGATGATTAGAAATTCCTTATACAAGACATGAATTACTCATGGTTTCATAAAATATGCTGAAAAAAGCCTCACCTGCCACAAAACAATTCATTTCAGTATTCCCACCAAAAAAAAAAAAAAACAAATTAAAAACACACAACCAAAAAAAAAACCCCACCCAACAACAAAGAGATGTAAATCCTTTAGAATATCACAGAAAGAACTAGGTTGGCAGAAATAAAAAATAGATGTCAGATTACTTGTAAATAGAGTCAAGAACAGGTTTATAAACTTGACAGGGTTACAGTCCTCAAACCACTTCCCTGTATACCATGGAAAAGGAAGAGATCAGAAGGATTTCACAATAAATTCCTCCCTATTTTTTTAAGAAATATATGTTTGCCTACACATTTGTTGGCAGACCAGATGACACCAGCTGTCTCCCCCCGTCTGGCCTCCCCAACATCAACACATTCTCCACATCCTGTAAAACACCTCTTTTTTTGGCAAATAGTTGGTCTTTTTGACACTTTTGCACAGCACCACACACAGCTACGCCCAGCAGCGCAGAGCAAGGACTAGGATTAGCAGCAAAGAGATGGCCATTTTATTTCCGGCAGCGTCACCACAACATTGTACAAATTCTTTAGCTAATGCATAATTCAGGGCTGCTCCTATAAAAAGAAGGTGACTCACCTTCTCTGGTGAAGAGCTTTGAGATCATTCAATGAAATGTAAGCATTGCTAATTACCTAATTATCCCAGGTGCAAGGGATACATTGGGAGAAGGTGCTGTGAGCTCACGAGCAGGACACCATCCCTTCACAACGCGTCTACCTCAGAACATCCAAAATTTAATCACAAATTCTTCTCATCTGCCCCTTGGTGGGGAACTGCAGAACATTTCTGCACCCACTTCTAATGTGCTGATGTCTGTTTTTCTCCTCCTTCATGGCTGAAGTTTCCATTGGGGCATTATCACTCCTGTGAGCCCAACTACCCTCACAACAAAAATGTTTATAAAGGCCTATCAAGTGACTCCCTCCTTTTTTTTTTTTTTTAATTAAAAGGCCCAATATACAGTTCCATCAGCTTTCTAACTCTACAGTTCTCCAAATGATGCTACAAGACACAAAATATCCAGGGATGACCCTCCAAGAGGTGCAACAGGCAAAGACACACAATATCTCTCTCTATACTACGGCACACAGAAAATCAGCCCTCCTTATCTCAAAAGATCAATAGATCCCCACTAAATAACTAGATTGAGGGGCTTTTCCACATCAATATGTGTCCATCCTTCTACGGAACAAACATTTTGATCCCACTCCACTTCTGATACAAAGCAACTCTAAAAAAGACCAAAGTCCCACCAACCTCTCCCAAATACACTTCAATACGGGACTGCCTCACTTCCCATTCTTTAACCCACATCAAATCCCCACATTTTATAAAATCATACCCACCAACCTCTCCCAAATACACTTCAATATGGGACTGCCTCACTTCCCATTTTTAACCCACATCAAACCCCCACATTTTATAAAATCATAACATCGCTTTGGTTGGAAGAGACCTTTAAGATCATCAAGTCTAACCATTAACCCAGCACTGCCAAGTCCACCACTAAACCATGTCCCTCAGCACCACATCTACCCATCTTTTAAACACCTCCAGGAATGGTGATCTCACCACTTGCCTGGGCAGCCTCTTCCAATGCTTGACAACCCCTTCTGAAGGGGGTTTCTGAAGAAATTTTTCCTAATATCCATCCTAAACTTCCCCTGGGACAACTTGAGGCCATTTCCTTTTGTCCTATCACTTGTTACCTGGGAGAAGAGACCAACCTCCACCTCACTACAACCTCCTTTCAGGCAGTTGTAGAGAGTAATAAGGTCTCCCCTCAGTCTCCTTTTCTCCAGGCTAAAATCTAAGGTTTCCCCATGGCCAGACCCACCTCCCCCCTTCACATTTACCTTTTCCTTCTCTATATGTCAGATATTCAAACCCCCATTCCCACAACTCCCCCTGATACTAGGCCAGTCCCCCATCCCTTCCCCTATGCCAACCTCCATCCTCATCCTCCTTTCAGTCCTCATAGAATAGAATCACAGAACCACAGAATTGTCTAGGTTGGAAGAGATCACCGAGTTACAACGATCAACACACCACTGCGAAGTCCACCACTGAACCATGTCCCTCAGCACCACATCCCCCCGCGTTTTAAACACCCCCAGGGATGGCGACTCCATCACTTTCCCGAGCAGCCTGTTCCAAAGCCTGACAACCGCTTCCGTGAAGAATTTTTTTGCCTAATATCCATCCTAAACCCCCCCCTCCACCTTCCCTCAAACCTCGGCTAGACCCCCCCCTCAGCCTCCCCTTTTCCCCCCACCCCGCTCCAGGCCCGACCCCGCACCCACCTCCCTCAGCGCCGCCGGCCCCCGCACCCGCCCTCTGCGCGTGCGCCCGCCGCCCGCTCCTATTGGCTGAGCCCCGCACGGGCTGCGTTCCCCCTTTCTCGGCCCCCCCCGGGCGCCGCCCGCCGAGCGCTGAGGTTCCGGGAACGGCTGCGACAGCCCGTCTCTTCTTCCTCCTCCTCCTCCTCCTCTTCCTCCGCCGTCGCCGCCGCTCGCGGGGTCCTGCCCCGCGGCGGGGCGGGGGGGAGGATCCCTCCTCCGCTGC